ATGTGCAAATTTTTCTTTTAATCACCATGTTCTCACTTAAATACCTGAATGTCCTTGTGTTCAGCCAATAATGATAAAGCATAACATAAAGCCATCGCTGTAGTATCATGACCCTAGAATCACATTCCTTATATCGACATACATCTAATTTAATGGTAAAAAGAGGTAAACTTATAAGTACATACCTCAAATACAAATGTATCAACTTCTTCTTTAATATCTGAATCAGTTAGAAGACCCTCTTCAGACGCCAGTATTAAAAGATCCAACATTGCAAGCCGCTTTTTTCGAGCTAAATTAAATTGTATAAGCATGTAAATGCTAATTTTAAAGTACAATTTTATGTGTTACTTTTCAAAAAATCTGTTAAATTAAAATTCCAATTAACGTTAAAAATATTGAATTAATTTAATTCACGATTTTGTCATATTTTGATTCATAATGTAAAAGTGATAAAATTTCAATTTCAATGCAACAATAATTTTTAATATGAGATGACGATTAAATGTAAGATGAACTTAAGACATTTAAAATAGTATTGGATTACACTACATACTTCCTTTAATTTCGGCATCATCTTCTTCTACATCATTGTTAATGTTTTTCAAGTACTGCCCATTGGTGAGTTTATGATAATTTCTTCTTTCTGCAATAATCTGTTCATACCCGACCTCAATTTTATTTTTATTGTTTGTGGAAATACTAAATACATATGTATTGGCCAACGTTTACGAATTATTTAATTATTTTCCAAATATTACAGGATTTTTACTCTTTTTTTACAATATAAAATGTCCCTAAGTATTATTAAAGCAGATAACATTTTTACGTACTTTTTCAGTAAATGTGTGCAATATTTTCAAAACTTTTGCTTGCTTTCTGCCTGTTGGCGTTAACGGAAATATCCATTTGTTGTGCAACCACGGCCTCGTTACTCTAAATCATAAAAATATTTCCCTATAACCATAATATAATTACCTATTATTATTTAAGAAATCGCAAGAAACAACATGTAATATCTGTAAAAAATTAAATTAAAAAATTAAAAACAGATATTTAAATAATATGCACGACCTTTTATTAATGTAACGTTAATCTTAATTAAAGATCTTTATATCAAAGATGGCGTTTCTTTGAGTTTTATTTCAAATCAACATTTCAAAAGTGTCGCAAGTATTACATATAACATAGTGACGTTGGAAAAATATAATAACTTCTATTTTAATTTAGACATTATTATTAAGTCATCTATTAATATAGTATCACTTGCGCTTTTGGAAGTCAAAGTTTAGTTTAGATATTCTTTATTTTAATGCAACCAATTTGACAGGTGATGTGCAGCCTACCAGACTATTGATTTGAATGATGTTTTATGTTTGACAGTTATTTATCCTTAGATGATATGTAATGTTAATTTATTAAACCATTTACAGAAAAATTTCGGTTATCTATGTATTTTTATAAATTACCTATAAACTATGAGTTGGCACATCTGATGAACTGCGTTTCGATACCGTTGCTGAAATAATCCCATTCCTTGTAAAGAGATGCCCATGGCAGTTTCTACAAAAATTTATATAATTGTAATAATCATATATTTCAAAACTACCTTGGTAAAAGTAACTTTAATTTATTAAGACATTAATAATTTTATAACAAATTTATATCATTTTTATTTATTATCTTATTCAAGACAAAACTTTCAATAAAAGTAAATAGTTGGAAATAAAATATAATACCGCATATTGCATTAAGCGTATGTTCACTAAGGAATGGTATTAAGTCTTTTACAACTGTGCCCCCTTCTTTTTTCAAAGACTTTGTCATGCTCTCACTTTCCTCGATTAAAATCTCAACAAATTTTTGCAATATGTTAAAATGGAACGTGGGAGTTAATATTTTTCTCCGTGTATGCCACTTATCTCCTAAAACAAAAAGAAGATGATACATAATTGCATAATACTATTAAGCGTGAGCACATGAGTAATTAATTCAAACGCTTGAACAAACGAACTCATTTGAAACTGTAGGCTATTGCAAGTTTTATAAAATGTTATACATATATTATACATAAGAGTAATTTTACGCTGGTAAATACAAAATGGTTACATGACTTTTTTCAGTTTGACTCAATCTACATACATCTTTCAGTTGGTCACTTTTACATCAAACATTTGGAGAAAATTCTATTTCTCTCCAATGGCACTAGAACCTATCTTTCTAGTCCTGGCTTTTTTTAATTCTAACTATTATTACAATTGAAACAATAATAACCAGTAAAATTTAAGATAAGCTTTATGAAATTTTATTAAAAGAAATTTATATACAGTGAAATACTAACATTTAAAGGTTTGACTATTTTTCGTATTAGAATTTGGCAGAAAAATTTTTGAGAATAACTGCACTTGCATTTATGTCTACATTTTAGATAGTTTTCAAAATTACTATAATGTATAATGTATAATGGAGAATTTGTATACCAGTTTTATCGTTTAAGAAAAAATTGTAATATGAATTTTTATTGTCAGTGTTAATTAAATTAAAATCCATAACGTTAGAACGGCATAATATAATAAAAGTCTATAACGCTTATATGTATACATATAAATATAATTTCACCTTCACTAGTAAGAAGACCCGTCTGTAACCAAGGTTGTAATGCGTCATATATTGTACTTTTCTGGATGTAGTTTGTGCTACTTAGTATTACCTAAAAAATTATAGAAAATGTGAAACCAAATACTGTTTAACTTGACAAGTGTAATACCGATTATTTATTTATTTATTTAAAATGTCATATTTCATTACCTCTAATATAGCGGTTATCTGAGCGTTTTTATTTGGAAAATAAATTAAATGAAAAATATTTAAATTTTTGGTAAACCTTCGGAAAACTCACCTATATGAATTAATGGATAAGAATTCCCAATTCCTATGTATTTTTGTCCTCTGAATATGAATATAAAACTTAAAAATGGCTCTCGAAAAGAAAATTGAACACTACATTTTTGGACACCGCATTATTGGACACTTTCATTTTAAATGAGTGAGATGCATAGGGATCAGACACGCACGCACGCACGCACGCACGCACGCGCGCACGAGGGATTTTGGGGTGCACGGGGGGCTTTCGGCCTCCTTTCCGCACCCTCCACGCTGCGCGCTGGTAGGGTGCGAAGACCTCACATCGTTGGTTGTCCCCCTGCAATGAGGTCCATACACACTACCGACGGGTGCGGGAAGGGGAGGCGAGGGCCCCCCTTTGTACACCCCGCGCACATGCGCGCGCGTGTGTGTGGGAGCTGGGGGGTGTGGGTGTGGGTAGGTGTTTGTGCTTTTAGCGAGAACCTGTATCTACACGTGCGTGCCTGTGCATACATGTTCTTTGTGCGATTTTTGATGTTCCTTGTCCCGAGCGCCATTTTTAAGGTTCATATTCATGTTCAGAGGACAAATATACATAGGAACTGGGTATTCTTACACATTATTTCATATAGGTGGGTTTTTTGAAGGATTATCAAATGTTTAATTTGTCAATAATCTACATACATATATAACATTTAATATTCTTGTATATATTTTATTACCTCCAGATCATCGGGATGGCGCATGGATACAAAAGACGTAAAGAATATCCATAATTTCCAAATAGAATACTGCTCAGATAAACCCGTGATGAGCTTCCAGATTTCCTCTAAAAAAGGTATATGATTCGAGTATACATATAAAGTTGAAATTAATTTTACATAATTTTACATATTTTTCACATTAATATTTATTGCGGTTTTTAACACTCATTGTCAAATACATTTGAAACAAATAAGAAAATAAATTTCATAAAAGAATATTTATAAACGTGTGTCCTTGACAATATTTTATATCATAGTTATTAACAAATACGCAATAATATTAATAGTTGCACAATGTGGAATTAATTACTTTATGAAAATGTATTAAAAATTTTAACTTACCTGATGAAGAAAATGCAAGTAGGTACATATGACCAATAAATGGATAAGCCGATGGGCCTGGTATATTATTGAGGAGTCGCCCATGTCGGCCATATCGTGCGTAAACATGAAGTGCCAAATATGCAAGAACACTGAGTAATAACAATGTAGTAAACATCCTTCTGGTAATGACCGTTTTAATCAGGTCTAGTTTTGTTCAGTCCTGTGTTCCTTTAGCCACTGGAGGTTACACATATCACAAAATATCTTATATTTGTTTGTAATTAATCTTATCGTTGTCTTAATAAACTTATCTAATTACTGTTTCAGAAATACTATAAAACATGTGCTGAAATGCATTAATTAAAAAGATATGACAACCGAATAAACGTATTCTTTCTAGATTTCCATAAAAAAGTTAATAAATTTATTACAATTGTGAAAATCTTAACAAAAATTTTTAATTGGTTTTTCTCTCTGTTAGTCTTATTTATTTACGTCGTAAAGTATTTGTTATCTAAGATGTTTCCAGAATGTTTATAATTGTTTTACGATTACATAATATTAACAATCGATTGAAATAAACCCTAACCTAACCTGTAATCATGCTTATTAAATATTTTTGTTGCTATTGTCACGAATCGACAAAAGTAATCGTTACGTCCGTTTTTTGGTCAATATATTTAAGTACTTTACCGGGGATTGGACCCAATTGCGTGAAAATGTGTTCCTTAGCCACCTTACCCTGGCGTAATTCTATTTGTAAACTGAACGTTACAAACTATTATTTTCTCACTAAGCACTCGCTAACACTCAACAAATGACTAATCTCTACATTTGACTCTCCTTTTAACTCATTTGCGTCATAAGTCGTCTTCTAATCTTATTGAACTTTCAACTCACTCACGCTCAGCTGGAACTTTTTAGGTGTACACAAAGAAATATTAAGAAATCAACTTGATAGTTGATATCAACATTTCTCATATTTATGTATAATCGCAATTCTATTTAGGAACACAGATAATAAATTGTTTTTTGAACTAAAAGATGGTAATAATTATTAAAGTAAGATATGCGTAAATCTTTTTTTCAGACATTTAATAGTCAAATTTTGTAAAATAATTAATGCCACATATTAACATTAGCATGTTCTTTGTTGGGCGTCTCACCTAAATCCAGTAATGAACTACCCTGTTCATGCTAGCAAATGTGGAATAATAATTTTATGCATTTTTATATAATAAATCGAATTATAAAAACAAGTACTGATCTATTAAAAATATCAGTACACCCAGGAAAAAGTTTTTTCGGATCACACAAATTTTCTCTTAATTTTAATGTTGCTGAACTTTTATTTAATTTCAACAAAATGACTTCTTTACCTTAACTAAAATTTTATTTGACGGAGACTGGAGTCTCTAAAAGGATTTATATCTATTTTTGCAAATCTAGCAAATATTTTAGTAGAAATATATAAAAATTTTGTACATTCACGGAAGCATGATTTGAACGTATCTCATTTATTTAACGTATATAAATTTTCTTCTTGGTAGGTTCATAAACATTCATGTTTATTTATTATGTATTAATACAAAATTTACATGTTTGGACCTAACTTGGTCATCTTCAGTAACACATTAGTTAAAAGAAACGAAAGAAGAAATTTTTAATCAATACCATCTTAAATTTACAAATATTTTCAAACAACACTGAAGTACAGATCAGTATATGTCGATATTCAACGAAACAATGGCAAATGGCCAAACAATTGTAAGCATTAAATTTAATTAAAAGTTTACATGTTACAAACATAAATATAAATTAATATTATAGAAATGTTATAAAAATATTATAAAAAATATTGTAAAAATAGTTTAACTTCATTATTCCGTGTTTGATAGCGTAGTTGAATATGTGATTCAAGATGTGCGACGAAGAACATGTTTGTATACGTGTGGAGGTCAGTATGTCAATGGGTTCTGCGATAAAAGCTAAAGAAATTACCCAGTTAAGAGATAATGAGAGACAGCAACACATACTCTTAATTATCATAGTATTCGACAAACATTTTGTATGTAATCCAGCGTTCTTAATAAAAGAATAAAAATTAGACAATCTTTTAACTGTAAGAAATTACGGTAGATTATTTTCTTAAAAAGGTTAATAAATATCTGGTTCGATAACACATGAAATTTTCCAAATTTTTCTGGGATTGTGACGATGGGGTTTTTTTCAAGTTTTGCTCACCCACGCACCCACCCACGCATTCACACTGTTCGTTTGTTTCATCGGGAACTCCTGCATTTGTGGACCGATCTTCTTGCAAACGGTCTTAAAATTTTCCAAATTTTTCGGGGGAGGCTGCTATGGGGTTTTTTTTTTATAAGTTTTGCCCACCTATACGCACCCACCCACGCAGTCACATTGTTTGTTTGTTTGACTATGAACCCCTTTTACATTTGTGGACCGATCTTCTTGCAACCGGTCTTGAAATTTTCCAAATTTTTCGGGAAAGACTGGTAAGAGGGTTTTTTGAAGTTTTGCCCACCCACGCACCCACCCACGCATTCACTCTTTTGCGCCAAGCTATCTACCACAAGGTGGTGTGAAAATGATAGCTTAGAGAAGAAAAAAAGACAAAATACCCAAAAAAATAAAAAAATTTCAAAATCAGTTTCGAGGTCTCCATGTACAGGGAGATTATGGTCCGATATTTGTGAAATCGGTACAAAATGTTGCAAATTTTTCGGAGAAGAATTTCTCGACTGAGTTTTTAAAATCTGTGACACCCTCTGGAACGCCAGTTCATCGACTTAAAATAAAAATAAGTTCTACAATTATTCTATTAAGGAATTTTAATACCAACAAAGGACTATGCAATGGCACAGGATTCATTGTTATTGATCTAAAATCTAATCTGATTGATACTTTTACTAGCCTTTGAACCCGCGCGAAGCGCGGGCGAAAAAGCTAGTTATTATATAAGCTGTGAATTATAATTTCCATTTAAACCAAGATCGATCATTTTTTTGTAATAATTAATATAACATACGTAGTTCACCTTCACGTAGCATAAAACAATTTATAAAAATGATAATGATTTATAGATATTGTACATTTCTATAAATTTACTAGTACAGCTCTTCGTCATTTTATTCGTGTAATTTTCGACAGTCAAGTCAGCACAAATACTGATTTATTTGCAAAGAATCGACATTCTGTCTTACCTGATTGTAACATGCGTACGGTTTTATAAGTAGGAAAGAAAAAGTTGAAATAATTTTCATATAAAGACGCATAAATAACTCATAAATATTTCATGTTTGTTTCGTAGAATAATTAACGTGTAGTTTATCATTCCGATTAACTGTAAGTACAACAATTTTTCTTTTGGTAAAGCGTTGTGAGTGCAACTTATTTTGACAAATTTCACATATCAAATGTAAAATAGCATGCAACAACATAATTAAGCTTGATTCAATCTTTATTATTTATTTTATGCAAGAACGTGAATATATACATTTGTAAAAGCCATTTATAACGTGTTTAACACTTGTTTAATTTTGCTACGCTGTCTTTTATGACCTCGAAACACGTACCATTGCTTCAAAGAGCTACATGTATTTTATGTTAGAGACAAATCTTTAAACCAAGTGGATAAGCAGGGCAAAACGCCAGATTAATTTGCATTCGAAGCAATTTTAAATAATAAATAAGCACTAATTGTAAGTAGAAATTGTGTACCAGCGTGGCTATTATTGCTTTTATCCCCAGCAAAGCGAATAGTTTGCCTACAACTTTTTGCAACGCACTAGGCATTAAGTTCTTAACGTTCGACCTCTCTTTAAATGTCTATTTTGAGGCGATTGGAATAAATTTTACGCGCATCGGATTAGAAGATCGCAACACCAAATCACTTTTTATTACAAGATCCTTTAAATAATCAACAGGTTCCAGATAGAACTTCTGTATTAGATGGGACATCATTGCCTTCATCTCCAGCATAGCAAATCGTTGGCCTACAATTTGATGTATTTCAAACTCATCATATAAAAAAATATGGAGAAATAGCTTACCGATACAATTACGTGGTCCAGCACTAAATGGTATGTACGAGTAAGGATGACGATTTCTAATGTTTTCAGGTAAAAATCTATCTGGATCAAATACTTCCGGATTTGGCCAAAAATTAGGATCTCTATGAACGCCATAGATATTAAGTTGCACCGCTGTTCCAGCAGGTATCAAATATGATTCTGAAAAATATTTTATAAAGATGTAATGCACAAATAATCATTAAAAACTTCGTTAAAATTTACAATGTAAACATCTATTTGAAGCAACATAAACTAAATTCATTAATTAGCATAATAGAAAAATTTATACAATAATCTTCATTCATTGATCTCATAAAAATATTTAAAAAAATTTTGTATTATAAATTATAATAGCATTTAATTAACGCAAACAATTAATTTTGGTTAAAAAATTTTTTGTGTTATTTACGAAAAGAAGAAAAATAAGTTTACTTTTAAAATATAAATACATTATAATATATTTAATAATATATAATATGCCTAAACAGGAAAGGATTAATTAGATACGTACTTAATTGTACTTCTTCATTTACAACTCGTGAAATGAAGAAAACACTAGGGTATAAACGCAACGCTTCTTTTATACATCTCTCTAAATATGATAGACCTTGCAGCGATTTCATGGTAAGTTTTCCTTGATTCTCTTGCATAACAGTATTGATTTCTCTTCTGACTCGATCCTGTATAATTATTAATAATTAAGAGAAAATTATTTACCGTGATTAATGTTTCGTTTATACGAAAGTATAAAGAGAAATTTCATAGAAATAGTATAAATTCTACATTTATTCGAAAGATATTGCGATTAATTTCTTCTAAGTACATATATTATAAATTCCCAGCAAAAACATTACAACAATGTCACAGCAATGTTGCTGCAATGTTTTGTGTCGGTTGGGTTATAAAATATTTGAAATACACGTTTATGTGTTTATATAAGTATGTTTCAAATAATTGAAGAATAGAGAACCATTTAAAGAATATATCCATTTTTTTGTATATTCATTTTAAAAAATATACGTTATACGAAAGTACATATACAGGGTGTCTGATATAAGAAGACCCCTAAGAAAAATGGTGGTAGGCTAAGTTAGACTAAGAAGAGAAGACATGTACCATTTTACAAAATTTTCTATAGTTGTCGAATAATTAATTTAAAAGTCTGGGCGAATGATAAGAATTTTGTAAAATGGTACATGACTTTTCATCTGTTAGTCTGCCTCAATCTACCACCAGTTTTTGTATGGGTCATCTTGTGTCAAACACCCTGTATACAGGGTGAGTCACAACATTTGTGCCAGAGCTCATATTGACCTATATTGATTGTTAAAATTATTGTTTCTATTACATTAAATAACTACCTTTAGTAGATAGTTTGTTGAGTTGAAAGGATTATTTAATATTTTCTTTTAATCACCATGTTCTCACTTAAGGCAAATACCTGAATGTCCTTGTGTTCAGCCAATAATGATAAAGCATAACATAGAGCCGTCGCTATAGTATCATGACCCTAGAATCACATTCCTTATATCGACATACATCTAATTCAACGGTAAAAAAAGAAGTAAACTTATAAGTACATACCTCAAATACAAATGTATCAACTTCTTCTTTAATATCTGAATCAGTTAGAAGACCCTCTTCAGACGCCAGTATTAAAAGATCCAACATTGCAAGCCGCTTTTTTCGAGCTAAATTAAATTGTATAAGCATGTAAATGCTAATTTTAAAGTACAATTTTATGTGTTACTTTTCAAAAAATCTGTTAAATTAAAATTCCAATTAACGTTACAAATATTGAATTAATTTAAATCACGATTTTGTCATATTTTGATTCATAATGTAACAGTGATAAAATTTCAATTTCAATGCAACAATAATTTTTAATATGAGATGACGATTAAATATAAGATGAACTTAAGACATTTAAAATGGTATTGGATTACACTACATACTTCCTTTAATTTCGGCATCATCTTCTTCTACATCATTGTTAATGTTTTTCAAGTATTGCCCATTGGTGAGTTTAAGATAACTTTTTCTTTCTGCAATAATCTGTTCATACCCATTAATTTTATTTTTATTGCTTGTGGAAATACTATATACATATGTATTTGCCAACGTTTACAATTTACTTCATTATTTTCCAAATATTACAGCATTTTTACTTTATTTACGAAATAAAATGTCCATAAGTATTATTAAAGCACAGAGCATTTATACATACTTTTTCAGTAAATGTGTGCAATATGTTCAAGACCTTTAATTGCTTTCTACCTGCTGGCGTTAACGAGAATATCCAATTGATGTACAACCAAGGCCTCATTAATCTAAATCATAAAAATATTTCCCTTTAACGATAATATTATAATTACCAATTATTAATTAAGAAATCGCAGAAAACAGCATGTAATAATTGTAAAAAATTTAAATAAAAAGATATTTAAAACATATGCATGACCTTTAATTAACGTAACGTTTATCTTAATTAAATATCTTTATATTAAAGGTGGCGTGTCTTTGAATTTTATTATTTTGATTTGTTTTAATTGAACTTTATAAAGTTATAAAAGTAACGTTAAAAAATATAATAATGGCTATTTTAATTTGGAAATCATTTTGTCACTATTAATGTCACACCAATTAATGTCACTTTGCTTTTGGCACTTAAAGTTTAAATAGACTTTATTTTAATGCAATCAATTTGACAGATGATGTGCAACCTACCAGATTGTTAATTTGAATGATGTTTTATGTTCGACAGTTATTTATACTTAGATGATATTTAATGTTAATTTATTTGTTAAACCATTCACAGATAAATCGCAGTTATCTATATTTATAAATTACCTATAAACTACAAGTTGGCACATCTGATGAACTGCGTTTCGATACCATTGCTGAAATGATCCCATTTCTTGTAAAGAGATGCCCATGGCAGTTTCTACAAAAATTTATATAATTGTAATGTATAATCATATATTTCAAAAATGCTATGGTAAAAGTAACTTTAATTTGTTGGGACATTAATAATTTTATAACAAATTTATATCACTTTTATTTATTATCATATTCAAGACAAAATAATCAATAAATGTAAATAATTGTAAATAAAATATAATACCGCATATTGCATTAAGCGTATGTTCACTAAGGAATGGCATTAAATCTTTTACAACTGTGCCCCCTTCTTTTTTCAAAGACTTTGTCATGCTCTCACTTTCTTCGATTAAAATCTCAACAAATTTTTGCAATATGTTAAAATGGAACGTGGGAGTTAATATTTTTCGCCGTGTATGCCACTTAGCCCCTAAAACAACAAGAAGATGATACATAAATGCATAATACTATTAAGGGTGAGCACATAATGTTTATAAACGCTACGAAAACTGTCTCTTTCTAATATAATATTAATAACTAAGTTATGCTACTTAATATTAATTTTATGTGAAATTGGTTTTTTTTGCGTACTAATTTTAAGAAATGTACAATAACATTTATTCACAAACGTATAAACAAAAATCTCATTTATAGCGTTATATCAGTGTTCTTATCATAATACCACTACTCTTGTATCGCTGTTCTTATCCCAATAGTAATGTTTTACCTTATACAGGATAAAACCTTAGTAGTGATAACCGATAGATGGTGAGACATTGGAATAAACTGAGAAGTAGAACTTATGTGACATGTTTTGTTAAAGTCGCAATAGTTACTGAGTAATTAATTCAAACGCTTGAACGAACGAACGCATTTGAAACTGTAGGCCGGAGTCGGCACGCATGCAAAAAGTTTATTTCTATACTGCGATAGACGGGGAATGAATGGCGAGCAATGAGCGACTCACAATCGTCGCTCGCCCCTTGCTAATCGGATCGTAAAAGATGTATGAAAGTAAATACTTTTACACGCGTGTCGAGTTCAGTCTATCACTCCTCATACGCTCATTCGTTCAGAAAGTTTTGTATTACTCGATTACTATTGCAAATTTTACAAAATAGTACGTACAAAAAGTAATTTCACACTGGTACATACAAAATGGGTACATCACTTTTTTGAATTTAACTCAATCTAGGTATACATTCATCTTTCAGTTGGTCACGTTTACATCAAACATTCTATGTAAATTTTAATTTTTTCCAATGACACTAGAATCTTTCTTTCTAGTCCTGACTTATTTAATTCTAATTATTATTATACAATTAGAACAATAATAACCAGAAGAAACGTATGTAATATAAACTTTAATAAACTTTAATAAAAGATATTTACAGTAAAATTTCACAAATTCAAAGGTTTGACCATTTTTCATAATAGACTGTGGCAAAATTATTTTTCAGAACAACTGCACTTGCATTTATGTCTACATCTTAGATAGTTGTCAAAATTACTAATTTATAATGAAGAATTTGTATACCAGTTTTATCATTTAAAGAAAAATTTTAATATGAACTTCATTGTCAATGTTTATTAAATTAAAATCGTAATGGTTAGAAGGGCATAATATGGTATAAAGAACTCTGTAACACTTATATGTATACATATAATTATAATTACGCTACCTCCACTAGTGAGAAGACCCGTCTGCAACCAAGGATGTAGTGCATCATATATATTACTCTTTTCGATATAGTTTGTGCTACTTAGTATTACCTAGAAAATTTTAGAAAATGTTAAATAAAATTATGTTTAACTTAAAAATTATAATACAGATTATTAATTTATTTATCTAAAATGTCTTATTTTATTATCTTTAAAATAGCGGTTTAATGAGTGTTTTTTTAAATAAACGAAAAATATTTAAATTTTTAATTTGTCAATAATACACATATAGAAAATTTAATTTTTTTTATATTCTCTATTACCTCCAGATCATCGGGATGGCGGATTGATACCACAGACGACAAGAATACCCATACTTTTAAAATAGAATACTGGTCAGTTATTTCCACGTAAGTCTTCCACAGTTCCTCTAAAAAAAAGCATGTGTTTCAAGTATACATACAAAGAACGTATTAATCAACTTAATATTTTTCATATTAATATTTACAGCCGGTTTTAACACTCATTGTCAGATATATTAGAAACAGATAAGAAAATAAATATCATAATAAAATATTTAAAAACTTATGTTCTTGAGAATATTTTGTATCATAGTTATAAACAAATACGCAATAATCTTAATAGTTGCACAATGTAGAATTACATACTTTATGGATATGTATTAAGAATTTTACCTTACCTGATGAAGAAAATGCAAATAGGTGTATATGACCAATAATTGGATAACCTGATGGGCCTGGTATATTATTGATAAGTTGTCCATCTCGCCCATATTGTACGTAAAAATAAAGTAACAAATACACAATGACACCGAGTGCTAACAATGTAGTAAACATCCTTCTTGTAATGACAGTTTTAATCAGGTCTAGTTCTGTTCAGTCCTGTGATCCTTTAACCACTGGAGATTGCACATATCACAAAATATCTTATATTTGTTTTTAATTAATCTTATCGTTTGATAAATTTATCTAAACATTGGTGGTTAAGAAATAAAGCATGTGCTGAAATGCATTAATTAAAAAGATGACAAAGTAATAGGTAAACGTATTCTTTCTAGATTTCCATTAAAAGTATATATGAATTTTATTACAGTTGTGTAAATCCTAACAGAAATGTTTAATTGGTCTTTCTCCCTGTTAATCACATTTATTTACGTCGTAAGACATTTGTTGTCTAAAATGTTTTCAGAATGTTTGTAATTCTTATGTGATTGAAAAATATTAGTTTACAATCTGTTTAAATAAACCAGTAATCATGCTCAATAAATATTTTTGTTACTATTTTCACGGATTGATAAAAGCATTCGTTACGTCCGTTTTTCGATCAACAGAGTTAAGTTCTTTACCGGGGATTGAATTCCATTGCAAAAATTAATAATGACAAAAATAGTAAAGATATTAGATTTTATTCTTTGCCCGGAAAGATAGCGCATCTTGTAAACCTCGCAAAGAGGATCTGACTTTGGAATGTTCTTATAATCTGGATAATTGATCACAAAATGGATGAAAATAAGGTTAAATTTTTCCCGACCTTGTGTTTTATAGGGGAATCCGGATTCGAATTCGCTTACTACGAGGAAAAGGGAGGTAGGGTCTTGACCAGATGTTAATGCTTTCGTAATTTGGTACTTGATGCGTTTTAGTTGAACCCGGATACCTCTCTTTTTGGGCATTATATGACTTGTCGTGGCTATTCTCTGAGAGAGAGGGAGATAGAGATTATGTTTGCTACACTTCTGGCGATCACGATAGGAGTCGTGGTAATATATGGAAGATTTTTTACGGTGTTGTAACCTTTATTTGTGTCGAATAGTGAATGTTGAATGGTGAATTTCTAAAAACCGTGCGCCGAGTATCAAATATTAACTGCTTGTGGGATTATCTGTCTTTCTCTCACCTCTCTCTCTCTCCCTCTCTGGCCCTATGGCGTTTGGGGCTTTTATTTATACCCTAAAATGGCGAGAACCTCCTCTGCTGGAGCCTCCCACCATTTGGGACTTAATCTAGTAGAAGCGAGAAGATTTATTTACAAATCTATGGTATCTAGGCCCGCAACTACGTGTCCCTTAGCCACGTTACCCTGTCGTAGTTCTATCTGTAAACAGAACGTTCTATTCGAGCGTTCAAAAAAGAAAAGTCTAGGAAACTTGTAAGATTTTTGTCCGCGACACTAGAGTTATTGGGTTATTTTGTTGCAAACTAATATTTTTTCACTAAGCACTCGCTTACACTTAACAAATGACGAAGCACTTATAATGACTCTCCTTTTAACTCGTTCCCGTCATAAGCCGTTTTATAATCGTCTGGTTGAACTTTATCATCTCACTCAAGCTGAATCGAAACTTTTTAGATCTAAATAAAGAAATATTAAAAATCATATTATCGCTGAGGATGACTAATGTAAGTATAGTCGAAACGTCCGTCTTTATTTATACTTTGTAATTTTATTCGTTGACAATATATACGTCATTTATATTATTATTTTTATTCGTTGAAAATTTATTTATTTATTTATTTATTGGTCATTATTTATAACCTAAATATAAATAAAATAATTTATAATCTAAATTTTTAGATAGTTGTGTCTCACTAGGCTATACAGGGTGTTTCAGGGTAAAGTGTCCTGTTCGCGATAATTTGAGGGGCACCGGAAGCCGCTCAGCGCTGAGCGTAGAGAGTGCGCGGAGCGTTCAAGAAAACGCTCCGCCGTCGCGCGCGGTGACGGACGAGCACAAAATAAAGATAGAAACGCGAGGGTCACACAGAACTCGATATTTATTAAACAAGGTCACGGTCGGCACACAATTAAAGATGAGGTCTAACCGATGCGGCAAGGGACCGTTCCAACGATGGAAGGCCCGCGAAACGGAGATCTTCTGAGTCCGTATGATGCTGCAAATTAGCGGCGCGGCGGGGATCTTGCCGAGCGTCGATTTAGACGCCCAAACGGATCGGACGATCTTGAGCGCGGATGACGGTATAACGCGAAGCAGCCGGACTTACGCGATCACCGGAGCACGCATCGACAGACCAGCCACTCGGCGGACAAACAATGGTTTTCGGAGCAATTATCGCGCCGGGCCTCAAGGAGAGACCGGCGTGGTACGGCACGAACAGATTTCGGTATTGCAACGGGCACTCGCGGTAGCGAAGCAGACGTCCCTTTACCGGGTACGAGAGCCGGGCGAACGGGCACTCGCGTTAGTGGAGCAAGGTACTCTCGAATCGCGCGATGATGTGCACACTTCGGATCCGCGTACGAGACTCTCCTTTGTGTCGAGCGATTTTCACGATCGTTAGAAACGGGAAGAGTTCTGATTGGTGGAACAGACATCGCGCGACCGGGTCGCCGAATCGGGTAAAGGCGCGAAAATGTATCGGAGCGCGATCAGCTGTGGATCACGTGTGCCCGCTCGCCCTCGGGAGCTCTCGAAGGAAAACATCGCGGCGCGACTCGTCGCGAACGCGCTCCGACGGAGAGCGACACTAGGCCCAACATCGGGCCAAATTTTTAATACACGCTGCTGATTTTAAACATGTCCTAACTTAAAATATGAACTTAGGACCTCAAAACAAGAAAAACCTTCCCTCTGGAGATATGTCCGTAAACGCTTTGTTTAAGAGATATTGACATCTAAACATTTTTTCATGATAAAATTTTATGAAATTGTTATCGGGTTATAATAAATAATTTAATAGTGTGCTTCAAATACTTTATTATTAAATAATATGAAAATTTTTACTTAATTATAAATTTTGTTCAAAGTGACGGCCTTGAACATTGAGACAGGCTTGACATCTGTCTTTGACGGATTTGACGGACCATTGGATTTTTTTGCTTGGGGTACTATTAAACAAAAATTCTACGAAAAGCCGGTTAATGACATTAATTCTTTACAAGGAAGAATTATTCAAGCATGTGAAACAATTACAGCTATTCAGTGCCGCTCTGCCACTGCTACCGTCAAAGACAGATGTCAAGCCTTTTTCAATGTTCAAGGCCGCCACTTTGAACAAAATTTATAATTAAGTAAAAATTTTCATATTTTTTAATAATAAAGTATTTGAAGCACACTATTAAATTATTTATTATATCCCGATAACAATTTCATTAAATTTTATAATGAAAAAATGTTTAGATGTCAATATCTCTTAAACAAAGCGTTTACGGACATGTCTCCAAAGGAAAGTTTTTCTTGTTTTGAGGTCCTAAGTTCATATTTTAAGTTAGGACACTTTACCCTGAAGCACCCTGTATAATAGTTATTGTGACAATTTTATAATTTATAGCAAGTTGGTAATAAATCGGTTCTAGCTCGTAAAAATATTGGCCTTAGGTTATTGATTATTTTTATTATTAAAAATCAATTTAACCTTTGATATCAACATTTATTCTATTTATGCTCACAATTCTTATGAGCAACACAGATAATAATGTGCGTTGAGATAAAAGGGATTAATAGTTATTAAGCTAAAATATGCGTAAATCTTTTTCTCGGCCATTTAATAGTCCAATCTCAATAAAAAATTCATGTAACATATTCACATTTTCAACCTTTGTATCAGCTGACGATGAACTTTGAATCAAAAGAAATTACATATTAATCAAATAGTTTGTATAATTTAAAGAGAAGAGTTTAGGCTTAAATTAAAATATATCGCTTGTAATAAAATTTCTTAACAGTTTCTGAATATCTTAGAACAAAGTAAGTATTGATCTACTGACCTTTACATTTACGTCTACAGATACGTTCTTTCTTGGGCGTCTCACCTAAATCAAGTAATGAACTACCCTGTTCATGCTATTAAATGTGGAATAATTGATTTTATGCATTTTTATAAATCGAATTATAAAAACAAGTCCTCAGTTATTAAAAGATATCAGTACACCCGGAAAAAGTTTCCTTCAATCAACCACATTTTCGCTGAATTTTGATGTTACTTTTATTTTATTTTAAAGAAATGACTTCTTTATTATAACCAAAATTTTATTATTGACTGAAAATAGAATCTTTAAGAGGTTTCATATCCATTTTTTAAAATCTAACAAATATTTTATTTATAAGAATTGTTTCTTAAATCTTAATTCTAGCAAGTATTTTATTAATTTATACTAGTAGAAATAAATAAAAATTTTGTAGATTCACAGAAACACGATTTGAACGTATCTCATTTATTTAAATAGTATAAATTATTTTCTGGATGTGTGAGTTTGTAAACTTTCATTTTTGTTTATCACTTAATATAAAAATTGCACGTTTGGATCTAACTTAGTCATCTACAGTAACACTTGAGTTAAAAGAAACGAAAGGAGAAATTCTTAATCAATATTATCTTGCCTTTGCAAATTACGCATTAATATTCAAATAACGATGAAGTACACATCAGTGCATGTAGATATCCGAAAATATAATGGCAAATGGTCAGCATTAAATTAAATTAAAAGTTTAACTTCCATGAATATAAATTAATATTATGGAAATAGTTAACTTCTTTATTCCATGTTTGATATGGCGTAGTTGAATATTGATTCAAGATGTGCGACGAAGAACATGTTTGTATACGTGTGGAGGTCAGTATGTCAAAGGGTATTTGGTTCTGCGATAAAAGCTAAAGTTCTGCGATAAAAGCTAAAGAAATTACCCAGTTAAGAGATAATGAGAGACAGCAATACATACTCTTAATTATCATATTATTCGACAAACATTTTGTATGTAATCCAGCGTTCTTAATAAAAGAATAAAAATTAGACAATCTTTTAACTGTAGAAGAAATTACGGTAGATTATTTTCTTAAAAAGGTTAATAAATATCCGGTTCGATAACACATGAAATTTTCCAAATTTTTCTGGGATTGTGACGATGGGGTTTTTTTTCATGTTTTGCTCACCCACGCACCCACCCACGCATTCAGTCTTTTTGTTTGTTTGACCGCGAACTCCTGCATTTGTGGACCGATCTTCTTGCAACCGGTCATGAAATTTTCCAAAC